CTCGGTGCGTTCTACATAGTCTCCCTGAACACAAGACCAAGTTGCGACAACGAGGTCAACCTACTTTTATCAATTGATTTCTAAGGGCATTAAATGACAAAGAGTGATTTTGATACAAGTTGTCTGATGTCGTTACCTGATGTCGGGGTCTTCCAACGATTGATGGGAAGACGGCTCGAGGCGCATCATCACCAGCAAAACCGGCCTTGCACATTCCTGACCCATTGTCGACGACGAGAGCTTGAACCTCTTCGTCGGCCATTTTTAGACACTGCGGTGTGAGTAGAAAATAAGAAAGTGTCTATTTGACTGGGAAGACGATTAGTCGGAGACTGTGTGAATAGGAAGAGAAGATGATCGGCTTAAATAGCTCCTCGCCTCCCGATGTCATTGGTCGCCTGAACCGGCGTGAAACCAACACAACCCGGCCTGGCCATATATGGCGACTGGACCAAAAACTGTACTACATCGGCCCGACCGTCTGTCTCTGAGGCAGCCGATTTGCCCCAGGTCTACAGGCACCCAACCAGCCACCAACTCCACTCAACTCCACGCCAAGCTGGATTGTAAACCCGACGAACTGACCAATCTGTGCGCTTGGGCAGACGGCATCGAACAGTATTTCTGTACCCAACACCTCCTCTATCTCTCAGACTCCTTCCGCCTATAGATGTTGCCCTGGCAACAAGGCCAGTGCACTGGTACGACGGGATAGCCTGCCGGTTGGGCCAGTTTATAGCACCATAACGACCACGAGCCAGCCAGATGTTGCCCTCGGCACTGGGACAGCACATAAACATGCACATATTTATGCAGGGACACAGAAAGAGAGACATTTATGGGTTCACAGGGGAGTACAGGCTGTCTCCAGCCTCATCATGTCGACAATGGAGACTTCGGAGTGTGGATGCGCTTGGTTGTGGAGGTATGTGTCGATCGGCCTCTCTCTCTGGCGGTCCAGGGTGCGAGTCGATGAGTTGAGGCTGGGCGACGCAGCATACCGATGCAACTTCGTGGGCTCCAATGGAGCAGACGACAGGAACCACATTTGTGTTCTGTTGTATCGTGCAGTTTCACAGAAACTGATGAAGCCAGGAGGCCGTCACTTCGGCGCCCAGTGACGGACTC